TCGTAGTCGTAGTAGTAGTAGTACTAGTAGTAGTAGTAGTAGTAGTAGTAGTAGTAGTAGTAGTAGTAGTAGTAGTAGTAGTAGTAGTAGTAGTAGTAGTAGTAGTAGTAGTAGTAGTAGTAGTAGTAGTAGTAGTAGTAGTAGTAGTAGTGGTGGTAGTGGTGGTGGTAGTAGTAGTAGAAGAAGAAGAAGCAGAATGAGTAGGAGGAGAAGAAGAAAAGGAAGAAGAAGAAGAAAAAGAAGAAGAAGAAGAAGAAGAAGAAGAAGAAGAAGAAGAAGAAGAAGAAGAAGAAGAAGAAGAAGAAGAAGAAGAAGAAGAAGAAGAAGAAGAAGAAGAAGAAGAAGAAGAAGAAGAAGAAGATGATGAAAAAGGAAGGGGAAGAAGAAGAAGAAGAAGAAGAAGAAGAAGAAGAAGAAGAAGAAGAAGAAGAAGAAGAAGAAGAAGAAGAAGAAGAAGAAGAAGAAGAAGAAGAAGAAGAAGAAGAAGAAGAAGAAGAAGAAGAAGGGGGAGGGGAGGAGGAAGGGGAAGAAGAAGAAGATGTGGTTCTTAAACTGGGTACCTCTAGCGTATGCCATGGGTGCCGCGGCAATAATCAAGAATTTTTTCAAATCTGATTAAGATCAGCGAAGACAGCAGTTTAAAATTGAAATAGGTAAAAGAAGCCAGGAAGAGTTCTGGATGCAGGTGTATTCAGAAGACAGTGCTATTGGCAAGGCTGCTGTGCATTGTCAATGTACGCTCACATAACAAAAAAAAAAAAAAAAAAAAACAAACAAACAAATAGACACAAGAGCAAACTTTCTGGATCAAGTGATTTGAGGGTTAAATTAACTAAACTTCCCATAAACATAAAGGAAATAATGAGAAATTTATCCAAATGTTTCATTCATTGCATTAAAGACAAATGAACATTAAATGAGCACTGTTTTTTCTTCTTCTATTCCTGAGTATTCAAACCACTTTAAGGGTGTGTGTGCCGCAAACTTGGGGGGGGGGGGAGAGGCTGAAAAGAGTGAAGCGGCGAAAACAGTTTGAGAACCTCTAAGAGGTGAACTGTGCAGTCCGGTGTTCTTAAGAGATACCGACATCTTCAACAAATTTAATGGAACTATAAAACGGCAGGTTTTTTTTTGTTGACCGATTAAAGAAAAAAAATTTACTCTGAAGAACCCACTGGGTCATGGGTGACCCAACCCAAAAACTCGCTGCAAAGACAAGCATCATTTACCAACAGCGACAAATTCTTTCCATAATGACCCAGTGGGACATGCAAGGAACATAAGAACATTAACTCAAACATTTTTTGAACAAATCAATGATATTTAAGTCCCTTTCGAATATAGAATTCCTTCTCACCATGGAACGTGGGCTGGGTTTTCCAGGTAAACAGGAACCCACTCTCATGGGGTAGGGCGATTGCTAACAAAACCGATATCATCGCAACCTTTGTTATCAGAAGCAGAAATTGCACCGTCTGTAGGACCAGAAATGAAAATAGAATCAGATGTCGCCAGGTCAGATAAGAAATTGAAGGTAGTTTCTGGAGACGAGCTGAAAACCGGAAAGTGATTTGGTAATGTCAGATAAGAAGTTGAAGGAACTCTCCGCGATAAGAAGTAGAATCTAAACAAGGAGAAGGATGTCTGCTGCAAACATCAGCCATGGCATGGCCGTTTCATAGAATGGTAGGAGCGTCGCCACTTACAAATCATTGGGCGACTGGCATGGGCGATCATTCTGCTCCACAACTTGCAGTCTCCAACAGCAGCCATCAGTTCGTTTGCTGACATCCATCCATGCCATGGCAAAAGTCTGTGAAGAATCTTCTCGTATTGTCTTCCTCTGTCTTCTCCTTCGCTTTCTCTGTTGTCAATGCGCATCGTAGTTTCTCATTTTCAAACCACGTTTAAGGAATGTGGACTGTCTTGGTATTTCTCTCTGTCTGTCTGTCTGTCTATCTTATCTATCTGTCTATCTTATCTATCTATCTTATCTATCTGTCTATCTTATCTATCTATCTTATCTATCTGTCTATCTTATCTATCTATCTTATCTATCTGTCTTATCTATCTGTCTATCTTATCTATCTGTCTTATCTATCTGTCTATCTTATCTATCTGTTTTAACTATCTGTCTATCTTATCTATCTGTCTATCTTATCTATCTGTCTATCTTATCTATCTATCTTATCTATCTGTCTATCTTATCTATCTTATCTATCTTATCTTTCTGTCTATCTTATCTATCTATCTTATCTATCTGTCTATCTTATCTATCTATCTATCTTATCTATCTGTCTATCTTATCTATCTATCTTATCTATCTGTCTATCTTATCTATCTATCTTATCTATCTGTCTATCTTATCTATCTATCTTATCTATCTTATCTATCTATCTTATCTATCTGTCTATATTATCTATCTATCTTATCTATCTGTCTATCTTATATATCTATCTTATCTATCTGTCTATCTTATCTATCTGTCCATCGTATCTATCTATCTTATTTATATGTCTATCTTATCGATCTATCTTATCTATCTGTCTATCTTATCTATCTATCTTATCTATCTGTCTATCTTATCTATCTATCTTATCTATCTCTCTATCTTATCTATTTATCTTATCTATCTGTCTATCTTATCTATCTATCTTATCTATCTGTCTATCTTATCTATCTATCTTATCTATCTGTCTATCTCATCTATCTATCTTATCTATCTGTCTATCTTATCTATCTATCTTATCTATCTGTCTATCTTATCTATCTATCTTATCTATCTGTCCATCTTATCTATCTATCTTATTTATATGTCTATCTTATCGATCTAACTTATCTATCTGTCTATCTTATATGTCTATTTTATCTATCTGTCTATCTTATCTATCTATCTTATCTATCTGTCTATCTCATCTATCTATCTTATCTATCTGTCTATCTTATCTATCTATCTTATCTATCTGTCTATCTTATCTATCTATCTTATCTATCTGTCCATCTTATCTATCTATCTTATTTATATGTCTATCTTATCGATCTATCTTATCTATCTGTCTATCTTATCTATCTATCTTATCTATCTGTCTATCTTATCTATCTATCTTATCTATCTGTCTATCTTATCTATCTATCTTATCTATCTGTCTATCTTATCTATCTATCTTATCTATCTGTCTATCTTTTCTATCTATCTTATCCATCTGTCTATCTTATCTATCTATCTTATCTATCTGTCTATCTTATCTATCTATCTTATCTTTCTATCTATCTTATCTGTCTGTCTATTTTATCTATCTATCTTATCTATCTGTCTATCTTATCTATCTAAATTATCTATCTGTATATCTTATCTATCTATCTTAGCTATCTGTCTATCTGTCTGTCTATCTTATCTATCTATCTTATCTATCTGTCTATCTTATCTATCTATCTTATCTATCTGTCCATCTTATCTATCTATCTCTATTTATATGTCTATCTATATCGATCTATCTATATCTATCTGTCTATCTCTATCTATCTATCTATCTATCTATCTATCTATCTATCTGTCTATCTATCTATCTATCTATCTATCTGTCTATCTTATCTATCTATCTCTATCTATCTGTCTATCTTTATCTATCTATCTATCTATCTGTCTATCTTATCTATCTATCTTATCTATCTATCTGTCTATCTATCTATCTATCTATCTATCTGTCTATCTTATCTATCTATCTATCTTTTCTATCTATCTTATCTGTCTGTCTATCTATCTATCTATCTTATCTATCTGTCTATCTTATCTATCTAATTATCTATCTGTCTATCTTATCTATCTATCTATCTATCTGTCTATCTATCTATCTAT